TTTTTTTTAATTTTATATTTTTGTAATCACTTTATTATCCTCATCCCTGAAGTTCCTCGCCTCTCTCTCTCTCTCTCTTTCTCCTCATTGCCATTGCCGACAGTCGTCATTGTTTCAGCAGTGTTTCTCCAAATCCGACGATGAGTATTTATTGTTGTTCATATAGGCTAATTAAACGAAACAAATAGATTAAAAATTGATCAATTAAATTACATAACATGAACCATGATTAACAGAAATACATATAGAATCGAAATAAGGAAAACAAGAGATCAAACCAAATTCTGTGTAATACCACAGTGTCCTTAAAACAGATTAGCCGCCTAATCGTGGATGTTGGAGGAATGTCGACTTCTGTCTCCCAAGATAAAATGGTTTAGACTGGCAACATAGAAGCACTTTCTGTTAGTTTTGGCGAACAGACAATGGCAGTACTCTCTCACACAAGAAGAATATATTATAGATGGAGACTGACAAGACTATAATATGAGAGCAAAAATTCTGTACAAATCCAAGGGAGATGGGTCTCCTTTTATATACTATAGGGGAGAAAGGAGGAGCCTTCAGCCATGAAGGCTAGTAACTAATGCCCATAAAGGCTAGCAACTAATGGCCATTAACAACCCTCACCACTGATTACTGCTAAACCGTGACTGAACATGATTAAGTAACTGATTTGACTGACATTCTGAACTGATTGATTGAGTGTATTAGTTTAAACGCATTTCTATCTGTTTGATTGTTAATTGATCTGTTCATGTTTTAAGTTTGAACTGTAAATTGAAGGCCTTATCGGCGGCCGAATCTGAAATCGATTAATGTTTTACGCTAATTAGAATTTATATGATTTTATGGTAGATTTGATTGAAATGTGATTTAGAATGATTAAATTAGATTAAATAATGGTAAATTACATTAGTTGGCTTATTTACCAAAATGCCACTTGGTGGGCCACTTTGTTAAACTTTGTCTAAAGCTTGATTTCATGTCATTTGCTCATCTTTGAGAGACCAAACCGACTAGAGAGAGAGAGAGAGAGAGTTAGGAGAGAAACTTAGTTTCAACAAGAGTTTGCTTGGAAATTAGAAGATTTGAAGGAACTTGCAAAATTTGAGCTTCTATACCTTGAATTGGAGACTTGAGGTAGCAGACTCACCCTTTTAATTGTGAGTATTGAGTTGGTCTTGCATGATTCACGGTAAGGTTAGTAATTTAAGGCATGAATTAGCTTAATATGTTGATTTGAGTAGGAATTCATGCATGCATGTATATATTGTTGAGTTTTGAGGTTGATTTCATAGAAATCCTCACATGCATGTCCATATTCTAGCTTTGGTCCATGAATTCAGTATGTTTTTGGAAGGATTGACTCATTTGATCAAGTATTTGAAGCTTTGATTTCAATTGAACACTTGCATGTCATATGTTCATCATGTTCATGAAGTTTATTTGAAATTGTGTTTAATTGAATCACCTTTGGGCTTTGATTTTGCAAATTGATCTTCAAAACATGTCATATTATGAGTTTTAAAGTGTTTTCCAGAAAATTAGCCCAAAAGGATCGAATTTGATGCTTTCAATGTTGAGTTTCATGCTTGGAGACAAATCTAGAAATTCCATATTTTGGATCCACTCTCGAGCGGGGAACTCCACGCTCGAGCGTACAATCTGAGTTCATGCAGTCCGCTCGAGCGGGTAAAGTAACGCTCGAGCATGAAATGCGTGTATCCAGTACTTTGCATGTGTTTATAGTCTGCTCGAGCGAGGGGATGCACGCTCGAGCAAGGACTTGTGTCTCACGCTCGAGCGAGGGTCGAGCGCCCGTCGAGCGTGAATTTCGTGCATCCAGTACTTTTGCAGTACGCTCGAGCGAGGAAAGTCACGCTCAAGCGTAGCTCTTTTGTCTGCATGTCCGCTCGAGCGGAGAAATACATGCTCGAGCAGGACCCCTGTTTCAGCAAAAATTTGAAAAATGTTTTAAAGTGCATCTTTGCATCCTCATTCCATCCTAGGTATTCCTAGACCTAGTTTAAGGCATCTTAATGAGGATAATGATGTAGAACCACACCGAGTCAAGATAGGAACTAAGTCATTGATTCCCAAGTGTGTAACTTAGTGTGTGTTCATTCTGTAACTGTAAGGTTGGCATCCGAGGACGCTCTAGCCTATCTGTAGCCCAGTGCTCTATGAGTAACAATGTTGTAAAAATATATTCAATCATGAATATTTTCTGAATGATCTACTGTATTGCTTTTTGAAATGATATTTCTTACTGAATAAATGCTTGTCCTATTTGCGAACTGTATTCGTGGCATCCATAGCAATTTACTGTTACTGCACTGTACTGCTACTGTCACAGAGATCTCTGTCGGTTCCCATGTTTGGAACCACTACTGTTTACCGATATGATGGCCATCAACTGACTGTTCGGTCTATTAAGACCTACTGTACTGTTTGCTATTGGATGTACCACTTATGACTGCTATGATCGAATAACTGATATACTATTCAAATGACTATTTTAAATACTGAAAGGACATTCATTCCTAATCTTTTTACGAATATGTTATTCACTGGGCTTTAGCTCACTGTTTATATATATATGTAGGTGTCCAGGCACCGGATCAGAGCTAGGAGCGTTGGGTTTAACTCCTTTTTTGTCAAGCCAACCACTGTGCCTCACTGAGAGGTTCCAAGTCCTTCAAGCTAGGGCTTTTTGGGGTGTTTTAGATTCATCCTTTCTGTCTCTGTTTTTTGTATAGACTGACTATACCTATACTGTACTGTTATGGTAGGGATTAGGTCCCTGTCTTGGATGATTGTAATGTATGTACATACTGCTTTTGTTCCGAATGTGAATATTTTATGAAAAGTCTTTTTGCATACAGACTGTCACAGCTCATTGGACATCTTTCATTTACTGTTTTAGCTTCCGCCAGCCCCTGTACTATGTATTACTGTTATTACTGCTAAGCAGGCCTTCGGTAATTATGGATTACTGGCCGGTTATGGTGCTAAACCCATAGGGGCGGGTTTGGGTCGTGACACGACAATTGCAGTACTCTCTCACATAGGAAGAATATATTATAGATGGAGATTGACAAGACTATAATATAAGAGCAAAAATTCTATACAAATCCAAGGGAGATGAGTCTCCTTTTATATACTATAGGGGAGAAAGGAGGAGCCTTCAGCCATGAAGGCTAGCAACTAATGCCCATAAAGGCTGGCAACTAATGGCCATTACTCCTGCAAAACTGCTGAAGTAATGGACCAAAACTGATGGGAAAAATATTTGATATTTATTTTCTGTATACACAAGTGTGTACATTTGCAACAAACTTGGTCTAAAAAAATTAGATTGGTAGACCACCAATCCGGCCCAGCCCAAACCTCAAGCCTCAAGCTCAAGCCCAAATCCAAGCCTAAGTCCCAAGATCCACGAATCACGGACCCCAGACCCGAACCTGGCCCGGCCTGGCCTAGGCGGGTGGGCAGCGCGTGCTTGTGGCAATTTTGTCATAACCAACTTAGACCATAGTCTTGGCCCAAGCCCATCCTTGAAGCATCCATGCCTCCCTTCCTTCGGAAAATTTAGATGCCCCAAAGGGCTCATGCCTTTCTCATAATCTTGGGGGTTAAATATCCATCAAAACTTTCCTCTACAATCAATGTGGGATTGGTAGTTATACACAATTTCCAAAACCTCATTTATGAGGTCATCTTTATGAGACAATTTCTCATTCAATTCTCAATGGTTTTTGGTCATTCTTTTTATGGTGTAAAGACCTTGTTACAAAGAATCTAAACCTATTTAATCCCACCTCAACCAATGGTTAGGACCTACTTTAATTTCACATTAAAGTCACCAAAAAACCATTGTTTCCAACAATCCCCCACATGAATAAAATTGACCAAATAAAGAAAACAAACAACATTTACAACAAATACTCAGAGAGAGAGAGAACACAGACTAACCCTGCATCAGAAAATGTAGTTGTTGGCCTTGAACCTTTCATAGTGAAAGCCTATCGGATTTATTGGCTGACCAGTGAACGTGATGTCTTGAACTGTTCTGCCGTTTATGTAAACTGAGACAATAGACCTCACACAGGAGTGAGTCTAACCATTGTTGTTGTTCTCACCTATGTGTCTGGTACGGCCCTAGAACATTAGCATGGTTCGGTGAATGGCTTTAAAGAATTCGGCCTTCCCAATTGTTAAAAAAGCAGCCCCACTTCGCACTCACATAAGTGACCTATATAAGGTAGCTCATTATACCACGGTTGATTATTCAAATCACTTAGGCCATGTTTGTTTGGGCAGACTGGATTCGGTTGGATTAGCATTCCTATGACTAATAGTCCTAGGACTATGAATCCTTTGGATTGTATATCTTATCCTATGTTTGGATTTAGTTAGGATTATAAGGAATGATTAATAAAATATTATCCAATTCGATGTTTGTTTAAGGGAATTTGAATGAATAAGACATGACAAGATATGAGACATCCAATATATTGAACATAATACCCCTATTATAATTAATGTAAAATTTTGCACTAAAATGAGTTATAATTTTTAAAAAGCAAATATTCATATTGTTGCTCCACATCCATTTCGATTCATTTGAACAAAATTTAACCCACTTTTTTTGAATAGAAAAAATAAAAAATAATTCAACTATAAATTTTTATATACATAAGCAACCATTTTAAAAAATACACTGCTATTTTAATTATCTAATCATTCATTGCTCAAATTCAAAAAAGTATTTATTTGAACAAAATTTAACCCCCACTTATTTTTTAATAGAAAAAAAATCAAAAATCATTCAACTATAAAATTTATATATACACAAGCAATCATTAAAAAATATGCCCTCTTATTTTGATCATCCAACCATTCACTGCCCAAATTCAAAAAGGCATTTATTTAAACAAAATTTAGCTCTCTTTTTTTTCGAACAAAAAAATATCAAAAATCATTCAACTATAAAATTGTAGAAATATAAATCTACCATTCATCATTTCAAAATAAGCATTCCAAGTAGCATATTGCAACATGAAGTAGCAAAATATGAGTAGTTCAACAAAAAAAAGTAGCAAAAAGTCAAGTCCTTATTACATGCATTAGAGTAATAAAAAAAACTAAGTACGTAGAAGGACATAAAAGAGCCACGAGTCTATCATGGAGCACTCCTACGCAGCAACCTCATCACCCACCTTAGTTTGTCATCAATACCTCACCCAACTTGTTAGCAATCATGGACAACCCTTCCACTACATCATCATTGCCTCTAAGCCTCTTCTTGTTGTCATTCTTTTTTGTAGAACTTTCAGGTGGTCGTTGACTTGATGAGTTGGAGCAATTTATTCCCTCGTCGATATGACTACTAATACCCTTATGTTCAAGAAATGTGCCATCATCTGCAAGACAGTTGAACAACAATTCTTCCTCAGCATTTATAGCATCAACTGCATCAGCAGGCCCTTCAGCAAACTCCCTCGTAGCTCGATCCTTACCAAATATGTGGATCCATGAGTCGAAATATGGAAAACTTTTGTTTCATAGGTTTTTCGCATCCCTCTCCCTCTACAATAACCATTTCAATTAATATCTCCAACTTAAGATTAAAGAAAAATGAATTAAAAAATTAATAACTTATATAAAGTAACTTAAAAGAAAGTATTTTACCCGAACATATGCTTCCCAGACACTATCACTCTCAACATCAATTCTTTTTTCGGTGTCATTCCACCCAAAACCACTGGTACCAAGCATTCTTGTTGCATACACAATTGTAGTGCTTCTTCCATAGCTTTATCTTTGATTCGATGTGGGGAGTGTCGTGAAGGTTTGTCCCGGGTAGCATCTCCAACAATTTCTCCTCTAATTTCACAAGGTAGCCGGCCTTGAAGGCATTGTCCTATTTCATTCCATTGTTGACAATGTGCATCAAGGCATTAATAAGATATTGCTCTTCTCGTGGGCTCCATAATCGCCTTGGTTTTGACGGATCAACTTTCTCCTTTACTTTTTTACGAGAACTAGACACTTCACTATCCATGCCTAGCAAAGAAGAACAAAGAAAAATGTGCCTGTTAGTCTCTATTATCCGATTATCAACCTGTTAATGTGCCAAAACAAGTCAATACATAAATGGATTTCAATAATCAAAAAATTTCATACCCATACATGCATGTAACAAATCCATGAGACAAAAAAATATCGTCACTCAAAAAATATGCAATCACCAACAAAAACCATAAAATTTTTGCAAAACATGGTTCAACATCCACAAGCTAATACAAGTTCCAAGTACAAATCAAATGAAACTACATCATACTTGTAACAAGTACTTTTACAAATATTGAAACTATCCTTGTCATGCCTCCCTACTAGCCAACCAATTGTTATATAGTTGCATTGCAAGTGTATCCCGCCACCCAGTCCACTCATTAGATGTCTCAACGGTGTCAACAAAATCATCTCCCAATTGAGGTTGATCTTCTATGTCATTATTTAGCCTCTATTCTATTGGGTCAACTGGCATCTCTCGACGAATGAGGTTGTGTAACAACAACATGCTGTGATGATACGGTTTTGAGTTCTAATGGGGTAGTATGATGCACAACGAAGTATTGCCCACCTTATTTTCAACAAACCAAAACACCTTTCTATGACATTTCGGGCTGATGCATGTTTCATATTAAAAAATTCTTGATAATTAGTTAGAGTAGCCCCTGCTCTCCAAACAGACAAATGGTATCGTTGGCCCTGATAAGGTGTTAGGAATCCTTGTCCATTTGTATACCCGGTATCTACTAGGTAGTAGTACCCTGTATGAGATGTTATCTATTAGAATCTATTATTAAATAAAACTTAGTAATTCCATCAAGCAAAGTTAATTATTTATTAATTACCAGTTAGAATTCTTAAGCCATTGGGTTGATTAATCGCATCCCTCAAAACCCTAGAGTCTGCAGTTAACCCTTCCCACCCCAACAACACATATATGAAGTTCATGTCTTGAGAGCAAACTCCTAGAACATTGGTAGCAATCTCCCCCTTCCTCGTTCTATACCGTGCTTGGTAAACCACTGGTACACGAACTTTAATATAGGTTCCATCAAGTGCTCCAAGACAATTTTAATATATTGAAGACATTGTAATAATTATGAGTTGTAAAAAAAAATGTGTAATGTATTTTATTAAATGTTTTACAAACTACATTTACCTGGAAGTAATTCCACCTTGGATCGGTGCATGCTTGTGTTATAGGATTTGGTGTCCTAAGTAAGTGTCCTTGAAGGCGCAACACAGCTTTTAGGACATCATTGAAATGTTGACTTACAATCTCTCCAGACCTAAAGAAATTGAACTTCAGTTTTCGTACTTTCAGGTCATGTGCCAAGACATAAAGGAACAAGGCCATCTTCTCTTCTAAGATAACATGTTTTGAATGCCCCAACCCGCCTATTGTACGAACCATATGGCATAATGTCATAAAACAACGCCTATCCATATGAAGTTGTTCAATGCATGTAATGTTGCTTTCTCTCACTAGCCGATTAATGTGGTCCATTTGTTCTTGCAATCGATTGGGCCCTCGAATAACGGTACGAGGATACTTATGAATGTACCTCTTCAAGACAATTTCAATAGCAATATATGCTACAACGCATAAGGTGTACAATTATTGCATTACAACTTGCAACACTACGTATAGCTCAAGCTTCTCATTACTCTTATCTCCAAAACCATCGAAATTGTACTCCATTTATGCAAATAGTGATGCACATCAATATATTAGAGTACAAGAAAACTTCATAATTCCAAAAAAATTAACAAAATAAAAAAAATAATAATAATGTAGAACATATGAGCATAACAATCTCTATAAATATATTCTTAAATTGGGTTGTTTAAACTGTCTACAAATCAATCACAAACATCAAATTTACATCAACTAATTGATAAGAGTTCAGATAACATCTCTTCCGTCACAACTCTCAGTAAGTTTAATCGTTGATCGAATTCAACAAAGAAAAGCTATGGCGATTGAGTGACTTTAGTGCAGTTAAGAAAATATACATTCCTAAAGACTATGGCTCCCAAGGAATATATTGAACCTTGCTCTACAGAAATAAACCCAGATTGCTGGGGGTTGGGGGGAGGGGGGAAAAAAAAATTACCATGAATAGTTACATTCATACCATACTAGACACTCAAGTAAATAAATAAATAAACAAATAAATAAAGAGACAAAGAGCCATTACGATAGTTGATGACCTGTTAAGAAATATCTGAGGATAAATGTCATCACATATCACTGAATACTTCCCATAATACTATTTATAATTATAATTATTGATTTATAATTATTTTATTTGTTTCTTATGTATCTCATATTCACTCTAGTTCTTTTTATATTATAGGCCTTTAGATTGTAGAAGGAATGATATTATTTTGTAAATTCAAACAGTAGGTTGTAAAAAATATCTGATTTTCTAATTTAAAATGGTACAATCATATTTTTGGAAAGCTAAATAGCACCAAAAACATTCTTGACAATTACTCTTAAATCACATAGATAGGCATTTTTTAAATTTTGAATCAGATTTTTTGTTACAAAGAAATTCACATTTTTTCTTCACATTTCTGTTACTTTTTATAGTGAACGGATATCAAAATGCCCTGTTTCAGATCCTACCACCTAAATCCAAGTCATAGCCTAGCAGTCAAGAAAACACACTGATCACAAATAGCAGATGATGGCCATCAATATATATATATAATTTTGAATCAAGGAGTTCAAAACATATATATATATATAATTTTTGCCTGCCAATATCATTGGATTCATAGCACTACCCAAGTCTTCTTCTTCTTTTTTTTTTTTATTAGACAGGACCAGACATTCAAAAGCTAGAGAAACTATGAGCACCAAGATGAGACTCTAAGATTTTGCATAAGCTAAGCCAAAAGTTGATTGTAAGTCATGGAAAATAACATCTCAGATATAAAAACAAAAGTAAGTGTTATCTAATGCTTTTCAACATTATGAACAAGAATAATATTATTAGCCCAAAGCAGGAGAGATCAATCCTCTTGCTATTTTTAGTTTTTTACTTGCTCTGCTCATAAGAAACACCAATAAGAAGAGAAAACAAGACATGGGTGAATACCATAAACTACAAATAAACCCAAAAACTAGGCACCACAACCAACAAAGGCACATGTGAATAGAAATAGTGGTGGTGGCGGAAGCAACGTGGTTGAGGAAGGCCATGAATGCCACCTAATTTTCAAAAAATTCCATTGTAGTGACCTTTCCAAGGATACAATATGTTAAGATAAGCTAAATGACGACCCCTAAATATATTTTTAGTACATAATATTATGCAAAAAAATAGATCAAACATCTTGTGTAAATAAAAATGTGGTCCCACTTATAAAAGTAAAATAATTTCTCCATCATATGCATTGAATGTATACTTTTATTTTTATTGAAAAATTGTCGATTACCTAATACAGGAAATTCACCTTAAATAGAATGTTATCAAGCCCACTTTCATAACAACATTCACTTTGGTAATAAGATTCTCACCCCCTTCCTATCAACTCCCTCGATTGTTTACTCACTCTCTTTTTAGGACTTCTAACAAATAAAAATTCCTACCCTATCTATCTATCTATCTATCTATCTTCAAATTCAATCTGATCCATATATTTGACTCTCTGCCAAGGTCTGTTATCGATTTTCTATGCCTCTTCAAACTGAGTGATCAGTTATCAGAGCTTTCTTGTGCTCTTTGGGTGTAGCATTTGCAACAGTCTTAATCGGTAACATTAGTTACGCCAATATCAAGTATGTTTATTAATTTTTAATTTTATTGATTGAATTTTTTTCTAATGAAAACTAAAGCAAATCAATAAAATTTAATGTCTTTGATTTTCTAGAAAATATCTTATTACATCATGAATTCACAAAAAAAGCTATTTTAATTCTTTAAAAATTGTTTGATACCTCTAAATGGGAGAAAGAGAAGACACATACAGAATTTAAGCAAAATAAAACACTAGGGAAACATGAGCTACATAGCACACACATACACACACCAAAACAAGTATTATTAAAATCACAAGTGATTTTGTCATGAAAATGAAAAGACTATTAGCAATTTCCATGTATGAACACAAAGGATTTAACATTTCAAACCCCAAGAACACTCAGCACTAATGATAGTTACCAATGTATTATAACATTCAACTTTGTCATCCAACGAGCAAGCAACATAGTTAGCAAAATAGATCACTTAATCGAATCACAAATAAACAGCACAATTTAATCGAATCACAGACAAACAACACAATTTAACACTGGTTCTGGAAAGACATACAAATCTAACAATATGAACTCACAATCATCAAATCTGAGATTTCAATGTGAGTGAAAAACTCATAACCCTAGATAGGGATCTATGAAGATGAAGAGAGAGAAAGAGCAATAACTATAACAACACCAATGTAAAATAAAGATTCATAGCAAATCAAACCACGTAATAGCACCTTAATTCAAACCGAACATCAATGGAAAAAAAAATTACTCACTAAAATTTGTTGAGATCAGCGAATCAACAAATGGTGGATCTAAATCAATGAACAGTTGCTCCAGATTTGTAAATGGTGGCTCCAAATCGGTGATTAGTGGCTCAAGCTCGGCGATGAACTTTGAAGACTCTCATCTCATCACAGCAATGTCGAAGAAGTGAAGGTTGCAATGTCGAAGAAGTGGAGGTTGTAGAATAAAATAATCAACAAATATGATATTTAGTGAGGGTTAATTTGGTCATTTGATGAATTAGTCCCGACTTTGGCTAATCTCCCAATTTATATCCCACCCATCTTTGGGGGATTGAATAGTCCATCAAATGTAGGACATCATATCCGAAAGGATTGTTAATCCGTATTTCAATTTTTTAACCAAACATTGGATTAATAATTTTCTTGGACTATTAGTCCAATCCTAAGCCCATGTCCATCCAAACAAACATGGCCTTAAGTCATTAAAAACATTAGCTTAACCTTCCAACTCCGTAGGGTATCACTATACAAAGGAATGGGCTAGAGGATTTACCTCTTCAGTGACACACCTGTTACTCAAAATTAGGTTGTTGCTTTGAACTTAGATCTTGGGATCTCTAGTCAACTAGGTTGGGTTTTCCATTCCAGTAACATTACTAAAGGCCTTAACCCCATTCCACTTGACGACGTTTCTACTAACTCTCGAGTTATCCCTTTGGTTAGCGAATTCGCAATGTTGTCCTTAGACTTTACATAGTCTAGAGAGACTATAACTTGACTTTTCGCGCTTCTTTTGGAAGACAAATAAGCCCTATAGTATCGGACTCCCGCGGTTCTGAATATGATCTCACAAGTATAATGTGAAATAGATAAACACCAAAGAGTCTAAATCCGGCAAATCTTTTGGAAAATTGATTTTGAATCAAATTGTCAAAAATTAACTACTTTGCCAGATACAAAGTCACCACCTAAATATTTTTGAGAAATTTAGGAAACCTATGACTCGTGCCAAAGGCCACGTTTCCGTCATCACCAAGATTGTCTCGACTCGGGAACTTAGGTACGAGAGGGAAATGTCATGAATTGAGCACCCCCGCTTGCCCGATCAAAGCTCGACCTCTACTAATCATGATGTGATTTTTATTTACATTATATACTCTTGTTCCGATTATTAGGCTAACTTACTATGCGATGCGCACACACACAAGTATAGACTAACTTGCAAAAATTGGAACACTTAATTTCATGTTTGTTTTGAAAAGAGTTTGTAAATGTGCCACTTGAAAAAGTGGGCTTAAATGTACATGAATGAAACCATCCCAATTCAAGCAACTAGCCTTCATCCACAGGCATTTAAACAGTTTATCAGATAAGCACTTAGCCTCATGGTGAACATGCTTTGACATGGCAATAATCACACTCATGCAATTATACTAAAGCAAATAAAAGCTCACCTAGTACTCCAAGCTAAAAAGATGATAAAGTTAGAATAATGCATGATCCTAACTATGCAATATGACAATACAACGCATGCGATATGCAATCTAAATAGGCTCGGCTACTTAACATAACATGTGAATCAATTTGATTGCATGCGGTCTAAGCACGTATTCAAAGAAGCATTTTACTAACAATGCTAGTTAGAATGATACGCCGAGCTTAATGCATGCAAAACGATGGATGCAAGACATGAGAGATGCTAAACAAAACATGATGCTTTAATCTAACCATCATAAGCAAATAAATAAAAAATAAAAAGACGTGGGGTTGGAAAACATACACATTATTATAAGTTTGCGCCCTCACGTAGGAGGGTCCGAATGAACTAACTAGCTATTACAAAACGAATTAAATAAACTAACTATGCTAGCTTAATTATTACAACAACATATTAAATAACTAGTCTAGAAATAATTAGAACATAAAACTAACTAAATATTTACAAGACAAAATTAACTAGCTACAACAAATTAATTACAACACTTTCCAAAATTTAAAGAAATGACTAAGCTAAGTAATTAAACTAAACAGTCCCGAGAAGCGAGGAGTGCTCATGCATGCGCACTGATTTCCACCCAAAAAAGCCACTGTTCTGCTGTCAAAAAGCTCCGTTGCCCAGTTAGAACACTTGCATTGTTTTTCACCTTAAAACCACCTCTGTTCTGTTTCAAAAGGTCGCTGCTTAATTTGACAAAAGTGGCCGACAAGCTAGAAGTGGTGGCCTGCCAGCCACAAATGGTAGCCTATTGTCCAGAAATTATGGCCTGTCGGCCATAAAAGGTGGCTTGTCGGCCACAAAATCCTGGTTCCTCTTGTTGCAACATAGAGCAAATAGAGCACAATTGAGGTATTCTCAAGGGTTATTTGCACAACTTACCCCTCCTTATCATCAAACAGCTTAAAGGAGTTGTAAATTTGATTCACAAGCCATCAATTGATGCAATTTCATTGCATGATGGCCTATAAACCAAAGTGTACTAGTTCAATAAATGCAACAATAAAAGACTCTCAAAACCCCTCCCTATCATGGATTGATCAAGGGAAGTGGTCGACAATGACTCTTGAACAATTTTTATCACGAACAAGTATGAAACGATTCAAGACTCAAGGGTTCAATTAACGTCTGATTAAACCCTAACCAAGTTATTATCTTACATCACTTTAGTCCTCAATTTAATACTTCATTTTGATTACCAACCATTCCTTAGTCAATTAAGTCCGAGAGTGAACTTTAAGTCCTCGAATGGAAAGGAGTACCAAACCAAGAGTTGTTTTAGGCATGAGAGAAGTATCATGCCGTTGGTAATTGTCACGACCCAAACCCGCCCCTATGGGTTTAGTACCGTAACCGGCCAGTAATCCGTGATTACCAAAGGCCTGCTTAACAGTAATAATAGTAATACAGAGTACAGGGGCTGGCGGAAGCCAAAACAGTAATAAAAGATGTCCAATAAGCTGTGACAGTTTGTATGAAAAAAAAAAAGACTTTTCATACATATTCACATTCAGAAACAAACTAGTATATACAAACATATACAATCAACCAGGACAGGGACCTAATCCCTACTCACAGTACAATACAAGTCTATACAGTATTACAAAACAGAGACAGAAGGGTGAACTGAGACACCCCAAAAAGCCCTAGCTTGAAGGACTTGGAACCTCGCAGTGAGGCACGTTGGTTGGCTTGACAAAAAGGGAGTTTAACCTAACACTCTTAGCTCCGATCCGGTGCCTGAACACCTATATATATATATAAATAGTAAGCTAAAGCCCAGTGAATAACATATGCGTAAAGAGGTTATGAATGAATGTCCTTTCAGTATTTAAAACAGTCATTTGAACAGTATATTAGTTATTCAATCATAGCAGTCATAAGTGGTACATCCAATAGCAAACAGTACAGTAGGTCTTAACAGACCGAACAGTCAGTTGATGGCCATCATATCAGTAAACAGTAGTGGCTCCAAACATGGGAACCGACAGAGATCTTTGTGACAGTAGCAGTACAGTACAGTAACAGTAAATTGCTATGGATGCCACGAATATAGTTCGCAAATAGGACAAGCATTCATTCAGTAAGAAATATCATTTCAGAAAGTAGTACAGTTGATCATTCAGAAAATATTCATGATTGAAGCTTTCGGATTTGGTTCTAGTGCAACAGTTGATGTCGCGGCGCTGGCTGCAGCTTTACTATTGCCCTGAGGAGCAGAAGGGCAATCTTTGACCATGTAGCCCACCTTGCCACACTTGTAACAAGCACCTGAAAGTTTATAACAAACCCCCTTATGATTCTTACCACATTCAGAACATGGCGGTATTGAACGGTTTCCCTGACTAGAACTAGTCGTTGACCTTGTATTCTACTTTTTGTTCAACGAATTGTTCTTGCCTTTCTTGAATTTAAAGCCTCGTCTCTTACCACGCCATTCAGACGCTAGTGTTTCAGTCTGTTTCAGTGCCTCGATGTTCGACTCAGCCATGATTGCTCGGTCAAGAACATCCACATACTTCAACAGTTTCAAAACATTGATTCTGTCC